TTTTTAAATAGAGGTGAGGTCTCACTGTGTTGCCCAGGCTGGTCTTGCCCTCTCCTTTTTAAATGCCTTTTGTTTTGTCCAAAGCTATTCAGACTTGCCAGAGAGCGAAGGGCTTTGTAATGCCCTCAAGGGGATGAAATATTCCCAGTAAATGCTAGCAGTAGTTTAGCAGTCAGTCTCGAACCTCAAAAGAATTTATGAGAGTGAATTTTCATACTCTGTACATTCATTGAACAGTATTTTTGAATGCCTATGTATGTCAGTACTGTTTCCCTTGCTAACTTACGATACCTGTCACATTAGTTACCTCACTGCCACTTCTCCACATAGTCATTGTTGGGCTGATACAAGTTCTTACCCACCTCTTTGTCAGACATCACCAAACTGAAAAGTAAACAGAGACAACATTTTGTTTTAACCTTATATATAGTCAGCATGGTGTCATTTGTAAGTAGAAATGAAGGATATTTAGAGTTGATTAGTTGATTTACTTTTTCCTGGGATGTATTTGCATACATTTTAAATATGATTTTTAGGGGGATAAGATGTGTGTCAGTGAACACACTCACCTGTGCACCTTTTCAGCTTATACATGCCCCTCTTTTACTCCTCCCACCTTACTAAAAGCTCTGCCTTTCTGACCTGATGAAACTATCGGAGTAGAAACAGACTTGAGTTAAATAAAAATATATTTTCTTGATAATAAAAGCTATTCCCTTATAAATGCCCGACTGTTTAGAATGTTTTATTTCCTTATTAACTTGATGAGAGGAAACCATATAATTTAGCCTTTTTCTGTTAACTTAGTTGGTTTTTATAAACCTTATTCTTTCCATATATGTGACACATGTGCATGCACAATTGCATACATACATGTTATATGCATACATTTTCATACTTTATGTGCTCTTTTGTAATCTGACCTCTTCTTTGTGTATTCAGTGATTATTTCTTCTGGTTTCATAGTGACTGCCTCTCACGACTTAGTTGTCTTTCTGTGATTTGTACTATGAACTAAGTCCTGATTTTAAAATGTATATGTTTGTTTCATTTTAGAATTATCTAATACTTCTCCCATATATCCTTTGAGAGATTTAGTCATATGGAATAAAATTTCACAACAGGTGGCAAACTTGGACTAGAACTCAGGGCTCATAAGCAAACTAGGGCTTTTCCTAGCTCTCTTCTCTTCCCCTAAATTTGGATATCCATTTCTAGATTTAGAATCCAGTGAGTACTAACTCTTTTATTGGAGAACCATTAAATAAAGAATAAAGTTCTAAATTAGTTTCTCCAATTAGTTCTATTATATACTATGGTATATATACTATAATTTTCCATCCCCACTTGTGTCCTAATAAAAATACCTATAGCTGAACATTTTTAAGCATAGAATAAAAACCAAATGATTCGTGTTACAAAATACTAACATCCTTTGTAAAAGCACAAAAATCTTGTAGCTATATGATGTTGTGGTGGCCAGAAGCAAGTTCTTAATCTTTCAGATACCACTGAGAGCAGTGCCTAGGTTGGAGTTACCTTTTCTCGTTCTGTTGTCCCCATTTCTATCAACAAGGTTGGAAGAGTAGAATAGTAGGTGGGGAACCAAGTGAAGGTCTTCTGTATTGTTGGAAGAGAGACATCACGTTCTTTCCTCTTCCCTGGGGAAACAGTGAATAGTTGAGTTGGAAGGTGATACCTGTCTGAGGTCTGAAGGCAACAAGGGATGGATGGTTAACAAGCCATTGCATGGGCCACTTCCTTTTGTGTTGAGACCCTTGATCATCTGTTTTCTGTGTGCCTTGGACTTGTGCTTGAGCCTCAGACTATATCAGCAGGAACTATAAGTAGGGATTGTATAGTGATGTTTAAAAATATTATCTTAGGAATCCCTCCTCTCCCCTAAATAACATTCAGGTCCGTTGTTTGACTCTCGGACACGTAACTCTTAAACTGATTTTCTACAAATACATTCTGTAGAAGAGTCATGTTGGTCACGAGGGGCTTCACACAGTGATGAACTTAGCTATTTATGTTGCCCACCCCACACCCCGTTGCTTTCTCAGCCTTACATCTTGTCTTTTAAATGCAGTCATCCTTAAAACACACCGACTTTTAGAGAGCTTTGAAAGAAGAGAAGGAGAGAACATCAAAGCTCTGGTTATAAAAGATTCTGATTATAGAAGTGAAAATATGTCTGAAATCCCAGCACTTGGGAGGCTGAGGTGGGCGGATTACTTGAGATTAGGAGTTTGAGACCAGCTTGGCCAACATGGTCAAACCCCGTGTTGACCATACAAAAGTTAGCCAGGCATGGGAGGCTGATGCAGGAGAATTGCTTGAACCCAGGAGACACTGGGAGGCGGAGGTTGCAGTGAGCTGAGATAGCTGCCACTGCATTCCAGCCTCGGTGACAGAGTGAGACACCGTCTCAAAACATAGCTTTTTTTTTTTTTTTAAAGTGAAAATAGATGATAAAATGACAAAATTGGAGAACTTATAAGTAACATTCATGAAGTCAAAAATAATGAAAATACCACTTGGGGCCAGGCGTGGTGGCTCACGCCTATAATCCCAGCACTTTGGGAGGTTGAGATGGATAGATCAGTTGAGGTTAGGAGTTCGAGACCAACCCAGCCAACATGGCAAAACCCTGTCTCTACTTAAAAAAACATACAAAAATTAGCCACTTGGGAAGCTGAGGCGGAAGAATCACTTGAACCTGGGAGGTGGAGGTTGCAGTGAGCCAAGATTGTGCCACTGCTGACAGAGTGAGACTCTATCTCAAAAAGGAAAAGAAAAGAAAATACCACTTGGAATAGGGTGGGAAATGTTTTTGTAACTTGTTTCTATTCTGCTGGGAAGACTAATTTATAGTAAAGGGATTAAAAAGCAAATGAGGTCTTGTTTTTGAAGTATAAATAGTATGCTGTAGCGGCATTTAGTCCATTTAAAGGACAAACCAGTGTCTGAATAAAACAGGGTAAACTGTTAGCATCTACAGGAATTTCATTAGACGAGAATGCTTCCTCTTTCTCTTTGAGTGGAACAATATTGAGCAGATTGGCAGCCCAGTGGTACCATCCAAGATCCATGTGCTTTCTACAACTTGGAGGATCTTCCAGGTCCTTATACTTTTCACCTTATTTGCCCTCCTTTAGAATTCAAGAAGAAGGTATTTTCACCCTTGTAAATTTTTTTGGATAATTTAAGCTCCTCTAAGCCTTAGGGTAGTTTTTATTTTAACCACTTCGTAGAGTCTTTATTTTTAAATTCAAAATAAATCATGCATTTTTTCTTTTTACTATTTTTATATAGTACAAAATTTTTAGATACTTAAATCTCCAGAATAAAAAGTAAAATTACACTCACTTATTGCAAGTTTTTTTCTCTCCCTGTAACTGATTTTACTAGTTTTTTCAGATCTTTATGCTTTGCAATATATAAGTGTATTATATTTATCTGTTCGTGTGTTAGCCAGAAATCTCTGGGTAAACATGTAGTTGTTCTACTTTTAAAAACAATGTTGCAATGAATATCTTATACAAATACCTTTGTGAGCTTATATAGGTATCCTGAAGGATAAATAAGAGATGGAAGTTTTTCTGGTCTGGTTTTTGTTTGTTTGTTTTGTTTTGTTTTGTTTTTTTGAGATGGAGCTTTGTTCTTGTTGCCCAGGCTGAAGTGCAGTGGTGCGATCTCAGCTCACTGCAACTTCTGCCTCCCGGGTTCAAGCAATTCTCCTGCCTCAGCCTCCCGAGCAGCTGGGATTACAGGCATGCGACACCATGCCCAGCTGATGTATTTTTAGTAGAGACGGGATTTCTTCATGTTGGTCAGGCTGGTCTCGAACTCCCAATTTCAAGTGATCTGCCCACCTCGGCTTCCCAAAGTGCTAGGATTACAGGCGTGAGCCTCTGCGCCTGGCCTAGTCTGTTTTAATCAGTATTTACTCTTACTGTCTTAAAAGTACTCTCCAAATATGATTTAACCTTTCTTTGTGATTTAAGGTCTGGTGATTGCACTGTGAGTGGAACCTTCAGACTATGTGCACTTTTGTGTGTTTGGTCTTACATGAGCTGAACCAAAATGCCACGGCCCCCTACCCCTGCCTCTTTTTTAAAGATGTTTATCTATGTTCTGCTGATTGTAACATCTTGCTGGCAACCTTGCTTTAGCAACCTTGCTTTTCTAATTTATGGAACCAGATACCAAATTTGTCATAATTGTGTTGAGAGAATAAAGGCTTCTTACATGAAGCCTGTTTCATGGTTTTTGAGTCCTCTCGTGATCACAGAAAGCTCCTATCTGATCAGTTGACTTTTACGTAGTTGGGCTTGTTTGACACGTGGCCCTCAGGTGAGGTTGTATTTTGACAGAGTACTAATAGGTTATTATGCTGTAGAAAAGAAACAAAACAATGCTTGAGAAGCTAGAATGATGAAAATATTTATTTTTAAAATGTTTAATTTCACAGCTCAAAGTTATGAAGTTTCAGGATGAACTGGAATCTGGAAAAAGACCTAAAAAACCAGGCCAGAGTTTTCAGGAGCAAGTAGAACACTACAGAGATAAACTTCTTCAACGAGTAAGAAATAAATATACCCATTAATACACATTTTTTGAAGTTATTTATTTGACTTCCTAGAATATTGGTATACTCAAAGATGATTTCAAATTACGTCCTTTGTGTAAATTTTGAATACCAGTAGGCAATTAGAAACATTTGAAATTTAATATTTTGAAAGTATTTCATTTTGGAAAGGAGTTCAAAGGCAGCAGCACACTTTTATTCTGGGTCCTACCTGTGGACAAGAAGATTAATTCTGCCAAGAGCATGCTTTCAAAACTGGAAAACCCTCAGGATGAATCATATTTGTGACAGGGAGACACCAACAACCCTGAGAGGTGGTACAGAAAGAAAAAGATGGAGGCAGGGTTTGGGAAGTTCTGATGTTGAGAAGTTTATTTCATTTCCCATGGTTTCCATGGAGGGACAGCAAGTGGTAGAATACTTCATTGGTGAGTTCTGAGTATTCGAGGGACTTTATATTCTCATGTATCACAAAATATGTAGGAATATGCAGAGAACTTTAGAACCAGGAATCCCAGGAATTTTGTTGGGACTGCTATTAATTTTGACTGACATTGAAAAAAAACACCCCAATAATAGATTATATAGAAAGCGAAATAGGAAAGAGCCATAAAAAGGGAATGTATAATCATTATGAAGCTGTTAATATACAAAACTGGTGATGGGGAGCAGCCTGGTAAAGCAGCTATGGTGCTGCTTAGGCCTATGGAATTCTGGCTGCTTTCCTAGGCCAGTCACTGCAGCCTGCTTTTTCTCTGAAACTGGGTTGATATTCCCAATTTTGTAAGATTGTGAGTTAGATAATAGCTACTATTATTACTGTTACTCTTTGTTATAGAATTCGAATGTTTAAAATATTACATGTCTTTTGTTTGTAGTATGGTTCCTATAAAATAGGCATCTTAATCAGGAAATCATTTTCATTATCAGGAAAATGCATCCTACAGGCCACCAGAGGAAGTCAGTCTCCTCAGCACCACTCTTTAAAAGTTGCACTCTATATATTTGGAAAAAATATAAGTGAGATTTTGTAAAAGATGCTACTTACCTATACTCCATGAAATGCTGGCAGGTTATTGATCTGCATAGAAGATTACACCCTGAGATGCTCACTGGTCCTGATGGTAGCAAGCACAAAATGAATAATACTCATATTACCACTTTAGTCTTCTTGCGCTCTATGATTATAATTGGAGAGAAGGAATATGGTCCTTGCCTGGTTCTGTATATAGTTGTATTAGAACACAGCCATGCACATTGACTTAAGTATTTTGTATGGTGGCTTCCACTCTGCTGTGGCAGAGTTGAGTAGTTGTGACAGAGACTCTATGAGGCCCACAAAGTAGAGAGTATTTACTGTATACTGGCTCTGTACAAAAAGTGTTTGTCAACTCCTGGAATAGGCACTTTTCACCTTTTAAAAATTAGAAGAATCAGCTAACATATAGCTTTCTTGATGCATATAAATCTGAGAAATTAAATTCCTGTTAGTGAAGAACTAAGTTAGTTTTATGGATTTATTGTCTGTAGCCACTCATTTAATTATATACAGAAATCAGAATTTTAAATCAAAAGTGGCAGTTGTAGCATCTGGGGATAAATATTTTGTTTGTTTGTTTGTTTATACAATTGTAGAGTCATGTAGTCAGTTTGTATTTTTTATAAGTTAGGATTTAAAAACTGCAGTGTAATTGGTACTTGTTTCCTGCTAATCTAATAGAATTTTGATGGAAGATTATTGTGAATTACCATTTTCCTTTTCCAGCCTTTTTTCTTTGGTAATAGTTGTTTTTGATTAAATCAACTTGCTTATAGTTTAGAGGGATCACTTTCTACTGACTGTTTTATTGTAACTTATGATAGAAAGGGCAATACATTGTTAGCTTTTTCTGATTCGAATTTTCCACAGGTGGGACAGCGTGGGAAGAGCTCTGATTCTAGAGCTTGGTCTCAAATTCTGACTTGACTCTCCTGTGTGACCAAGGACGTGGTGCTTAATCTTTCTGAGACTCCATTTTCATTTCTAGAATGAGGATAATAGTAATTTTCTTAGGGATGCTTTAAATGATTACATGAAATGGTCTGTGGAAAGTTGTTCAGTACATTGTTTGGCTTATGGTAAGCACTCAGTAAATGTTTAGCTGCTGTTGCCAGGATTAGTTTTATTCAGTACAAGCAGAAGAAATGACTAGTTTTCTTGGAGGAGTAGATTTTGTTTTTTTAAAACAGTATTGTACTTTAAGTAGTAATTTAAAAAATTATTTCCTATAAGAAAATATCGTTTTATAAATGAGATTGTTCTATAAACCCAGATTAATATTTTTAAACAACTTAATATTTTCTTTAAAAATAACAGGAGAAAGAGAAAGAGTTAGAAAGAGAACGAGAAAGAGACAAGAAAGATAAGGAAAAATTAGAATCTCGCTCCAAAGACAAGAAAGAAAAAGATGA